TTGAGCCTAATGCAGATCAAAGGACTTAACAGGGAAAGGTCAAATATGGTGACAGCCTGCACTCATGTATTAAAAGACAATAAAACAGTAAGTGTAGTTATGTCACCAATAAATAAATAATTTTAGTCACATCAGGCTCATTTCAAGCATAAATAGACTTTTCTCTATTTTTTGCTTGTTTAAAGTTTTGTTCTTTCTTTTACTGATGCTTTCTGACAGCTGCACATATAACCATATGTATGTAGCCATGTAACATGTTCCTCCTTATGGCCAGCTGCAGTGTAAATTATCTTAATTACAAAGCAGAAATCAATTCAGAATTGTTGCAGATTGTCTTCAATCCTGCTAATCTGGTTCATGATTTAGTTCTCCCTACCAAAGACGGCTGGCAATTGATAATACATTAGGACAAAAGTTTGGGTGAAAAATGCATTATTTCCTTAATCTCATTTTCCTTATCTCTTCTTCATCTCATTCCTTCACCGCACCACGTAAATCCAATTTTGCTTCTTTCATTGTCAGCATGAGGACATATTGTTTTGCTTTGTAAATAAACTTCATCTTTTCTGCTGCCACAGTTTGGAATCTGGTCTCATTGTTTATGTTTTCAAGGTTTGATCCATTGAAAATAAGGATGAGTAAATAGTGAAATAAGATACAGAGATTTCTTATCTGAGAGAAGTTTATTTACTAATCATGAGTACGCAGCATATATTCTAGTCGATCCTGTTTTTGATATTACTTCACCTTGAAAAATCAGTGTCTGTCAAAATAAACGTGTAACCATTAATATTCCTGAAATGATCAGCTTTATTATTAAAACTAATTTCTGACAGGGTTAGTAGAATACGAAAAAAAATTGAAAAATCACATCGTACCCTAGATTGTAACTTATTTAATTGTTTCATGCAAAGGTTTTAATTTCCAACAAATTACAGCCGTAATTTGAAATGGGATTTCAGCCTGGTGTTAGATCCCTGTCACATTTGTCTGGTCCCTAGGATGAAAACACTTTCTTTCACCACCCTCAGGCTTTGGCTGCTTGGAATTTGAATTTCTTAATTGAACAATTAATGGAGTCGTTAATCAAGCAATTAATCAGTAGTTACAGTAATAGCCTGACGTTCGTAAGTGAAGAGCTTTCTTTTGCAGATTAATCTGTGTCGAATTTACTGTATAGAAGCAGAAAATACTGTAATCCCACAACCTCAGTCATGCAGCTTCTATTTTGTTCCAAAATCAGCTGCCGAGTTTATGCCGGTTAAAAATATTTCAAAGTGAGGTTGCAAAATCTTTTTTTGTTTTGTTGTGTGAAAGTGGGTCAGCACCATAGGTGTCTTGCTGCTGGAGCTCAGTGGAACGACACTCCGCCAAGAGAGTAATAGAACATTTGCACTTTACATAATATGGTTGAAATGCATATAAATATTTTAAACGCTTCAAAACATTCGCCCTTAAATGTTGCCAATAGCTGCTGGTAGCTTATGTTAGCATGTTAGCCTTTAATCTGATGAGTTTTTTACTATTTCAACTAATCTAATGTTGACTAATGAAGATACAAATATTACAAAATACTACAGCCATTCTAATGTCTTGTACTACTTCTCCAGATGTTTTGCTGACGGCTAAATACTATTATCTATGTGAGGAAATCATTCATAGAGTCAGTCCAACATTTAATAGAGGGATCTGTTAGAGTTGCTAATATATATAAACAGGTTTATAACTTTTTAATGCCACAATGTATGACATACATCCACTCGCATCATAAGCTCTTAAACACATGGTACTACACTGTCAGCACATTGTCACATATTATTATTACAGATCAACTTTGAAAAACGATTCTGATCTATTTACAGCAAGCCCTTTTACTAGTGACATACATTCATTGTATCATTGCAGAATTGTGTACACTTTTGTTCATCTCAACAGCTATCCCAAGAGATCCTGTGTCTCTGAGACGTGTTGAAATTCACAGGTTTTTGAGTTTTTAAACTTATTCCAGATTCATACCACATTCAAACCACGTCAGATCAGCGACATTGGAGATACTGACTGTGACCCTAGACAAGGAAAAACAATCCAGCTTTCTGTGAAATTTGAATAAAAATACATACGAAAAATATGTATAAACCACAATTTGATTACCTCGGCCAAATATCAGATACATTGAAAAAAACAAAATTTAATAAAAGAAAAGATAAATAATATAACAAAAACATGCATCATGTAGTGATCAGCATTCGCCTAGCTCACATAAGTGTATGTGATTAATTACTTGGTGAAAACTGCTGCAAAACCTTATTCTGGAAAAAAATTGTTCTCAACTGTTTCCACAAACAAATCCCCTCGTTCCATTTTGACTTGCTTGTTTCACATTCCTGTTGCACACATGCCTTTGAGGAACTGTGACTTGTAATCAGACCTTTCCAGATATCTCAACTTGATGGAAGGACTGGTGGGTGGCACTGTGACGAGGTTCCTTATTATTAATGTCCCCCAGTCTCGAATATAAATCACACGACACAGCAATCATAGCTGCTTTTCTTCCCTTCCTTCCTCCTCCTCCTGCAGAGGTACAGCGCAGAAGTTGGCGGCTTCATTGTGATTTTGTTTTATGTGACTGAGATTGAGAGTGCAAGGACAGTGCACCCAGAAAACAGAATGGGAATAAGGCACTCAATCAAGATGCAACTTTGTGTGTATGGGTCCAGGGTATATGTGTGTGATTATTACAGGCTACGACAGATACTATACAGCCATAAACAGGGTGTGATATGAGGCACTCAATCAAGATGCAATTTTTTGTGTATTGGTGGACAGTGCTATCTGTCTATGCAACAACAGATACACACATCTAAAGAATATTGTTTGGTGAAAACCTTTCAATTTGATCTTTTTGGGGATTACAACCTGCTGTATTCAATTGTTTACATTGTAAAACTATTGCATATTAGACATATACATTCATTTGACTTATGTATCTCCTCTCTCTTCTGTTTCTCATTTCATTCCAGTGGGCCCAAATCCTCTTTCCAAAAAGTGGAAGACCAGTCAACGAATTATGAATGTTAAACAAGATGACCTCCAATCAGCAGCAGCAGATGATGCGAGGTCCTAGGTGGAATCGGGCCTTGTCCGACCCTTTGCTTGTGCTGCTTCTGGCCCTCCAGCTGCTAGTGGTGGCAGGGCTGGTACGTGCTCAGACGTGCCCCTCTGTCTGCTCCTGTAGTAACCAGTTCAGCAAAGTCATCTGCACCCGCCGAGGCCTGCGGGATGTCCCTGATGGCATCTCGACAAACACACGCTACCTGAATCTGCAAGAAAATCTCATTCAGGTCATAAAGGTGGACAGCTTCAAGCATCTACGACATCTGGAGATCCTGCAGCTGAGCAAAAACCACATACGCAAAATTGAGCTGGGTGCCTTCAATGGACTGGCCAGCCTCAATACCTTGGAGCTTTTTGATAACCGCCTCACCACAATCCCAAACGGGGCATTTGAGTACCTGTCCAAACTAAAGGAGCTTTGGCTGAGGAATAACCCCGTAGAGAGCATTCCCTCCTATGCTTTCAACAGAGTGCCCTCATTACGGCGGTTGGACCTCGGGGAGCTCAAGCGGCTCTCCTACATTTCTGAGGGGGCCTTTGAAGGGCTGAGCAATCTACGGTACTTAAATCTGGGAATGTGCAATCTGAAGGAAATTCCCAACCTTATTCCCCTGGTGAAGCTGGATGAACTGGAGATGTCGGGGAACCAGCTATCTGTCATCCGGCCTGGCTCTTTTAAAGGGCTCATCCATTTGCAAAAGCTATGGATGATGCATGCCCAGATCCAGACCATAGAAAGGAACTCTTTTGACGACCTACAGTCACTAGTGGAGCTCAATCTAGCCCACAACAACCTTACCCTCTTGCCCCATGATCTCTTTACTCCTTTACATCACCTGGAGAGAGTGCACTTGCACCACAACCCCTGGAATTGTAACTGTGACATCCTCTGGCTTAGCTGGTGGCTCAAAGAGATGGTACCAGCAAACACGAGCTGCTGTGCCCGCTGCAGCTCACCTACCCACCACAAGGGACGATATATTGGCGAGCTGGACCAGAATTACTTTCACTGTTATGCTCCTGTTATTGTGGAGCCTCCCACAGACCTAAATGTGACAGAAGGTAGCGCTGCAGAGTTGAAATGCAGGGCCAGCTCTCTGACCTCTGTAAGCTGGATTACACCCAACGGTTCCATCATGACACACGGAGCGTACAAGATCAGAATCTCTGTGCTGAATGACGGCACGCTGAACTTTACGAATGTTACCATGCAGGACACAGGCACATATACGTGTATGGTCAGTAATTCTGCAGGTAACACGACAGCATCTGCCACACTCAATGTGTCCTCTACAGAGAACAGCAGCTTCAGCTACTTCACCACAGTAACAGTGGAGACCATAGAAACGCCACATAATGAAGGCTTCACCACCAGTGTGCAACAGAAGGTGGGCCCCACCCCCTCCGCTGGAGCATGGGAGTCTGTTTCAGCCACTTCAACAACCACCACCACAATTCGGACGACGCTCTTCACTCGCGCCACGGAGAAGACTTACACGATCCCTGTCACAGAGCTGGGTGGGGAGGGCTCACTCAATGGCTTGGATGAGGTGATGAAGACGACCAAGATCATCATCGGCTGCTTCGTTGCGATCACGCTGATGGCAGCCGTCATGTTGATTATCTTCTACAAGATGCGCAAACAGCACCACCAGCAGAACCACCACGCACCCACACGCACTATTGAGATCATTAATGTGGACGAGGACTGTGTAACAGGGGGCCCGGGTATGGAGGGCCACCTGACTCTGCCTCCTCTTGAGCATGAGCACCTCAACCACTATAACACCTACAAGAGTGCATACAACCATGCCACCATCAACTCCATACACAGCTCAGCGCACGAACCTTTGTTAATCCGGGCCAGCTCAAAAGACAATGTACAAGAGACCCAAATCTAACGCATTTTTTTTTTTCAAAATGAGACATTATAAAACTGATGGAATTACATAAAACATGACTGACAGGACAGTACTGATGACTGGATGTGAGGCTTACGGCTCAAACATGGAGAAACAGACTCCCGTTTGTCAAATCAGTGGCTGGTGGTGTTTGTTCAATGACTCTTGGGATTAGGGTATGTCTACTGTTTCAAAAAGTGTCTTTACAAAACAGAAGTTATTTATTTAAGAAAAAAAATATTGTGGTTAAATCAAGAAAAACTGTATTCTGCAATTATTTTTTCAGCACTTATTCATGTCCTTCTTTTCTCCCTCTCATTTATGGATTTGGTTTACTAATATGCTTTGAAATGCTTTTGAGGCACCTGTCAAAGAAAACGTAGAAGCAAATTATTTTTTCTTTCCTTTTTTTGTAAACTGCAGACTTCAGGATCTGATAAGATAGAAACCTAATTTTCCCATGTGTGAAAGGAATCTAGAGCACATTAGTGATTTTCTCCAGCTGTGGATTAAGTGATGAAATCTTTGTGACCATCTGTAACTGGGATGATTTAAAATCTTGTTCATTATTTTACAGTGATTGACAGAACTGTCAGTGACAAAATTTGGTCATAATTCACGACTTAATTATATCTCTTACATACATATTAGGCACTCTGCAATGTCATCAGTAGACTGAAGATCCTTAATGAGTGCAATATGTCCTGCCTTCTGCTACTGTACAAGTCAAGGCTCACTATTAAAAGCATATTTTAGTTCAATTAAATTCTATACACAAACTATGGAAGAAACATTTGTCTTTGTTTGCCTAATGGATATGCAAAATACAATGTCATCATTGATTTCCACTTGTTTTGATTCAGATCCCAAGCATCTCAAAAGACATGATTACGAAAAGGAAAAAGTTGTTTATTGTATTAAGACCAATTCTGATCTCAGAGGGTCATGATGAAGGAGCAGCACTAATGGGTACTTTAGCATTAAGATGCTTGTAATCAAAAATATAGATAAAGATGTAAAATTCAAAAGTGATGGAAAATGTAGCTGATCTTATCTTCTGGTAAAGGTTCACTGCCTCCAAATATTACAAGTGTATAATGGCCTCACCTTTCACTTAGTTTGCTTTGTACCTGCTGCATGTGAAGATGCTTTGAAGCCACTTTTTCATGGTGGGGACCCCTTACCTCATCTGCAGCACTGCAGGACAGAGTGCTGTCAGAAGCAGACTGGTGAGCTGAAGAAGGAGCGTAAACCCTGTATACAGCTGTCTGAGCACATTGCCTGTCATCTGTATGTCACATTTCCACATCGGCAGTGCTTGGCAGTCCCAGATTCACACCCTGCCCCTGCCAACCACAGGACTTGGCCCCGAGAGGGAGGGCTTATGCAGCAAGAAGCTTTGGGGGTGAATGTGTGGGATCGGGCATCAACCAGATGTTTGGGTTGCTTCCCCCCCCCCTCCGTTAGCGACAACACAATTTCCATTTTAATTGATGTGCCCATGGGTTTTGGATGGACACAGCTCCGCAGGCGCCCATACCTTGGAAACCATTTCAAAGTCCCCACCATTAGAATGGTGCCAGGCAGCAGAAATGCAGAGGTTATGCAGACATTTGTCAGATCCTCCAGGTTTATTTTTAGCAGATAAGTGCAGCTTTGGTCCTCTGACAGTAAAATAAGACAAAAAGCTTGTTATTGTCATGTTTCATTCAGATTTGTCTTTTACATTATATTGTAGGTTTATGTTACAGTAAGGAAGTATACAGAGGAGAATACCTCTTAAAAAATACTGTTTGAGATAGTGACATGTATTTTTTTGTGGAATCGTGATGCAAAGCACTATCCTGAAAAATTGGAGGTGGTACTGCACCCAAAAACTAGAGGAAGTTGTGGGTTTTGAATGTTCTTACATCCTGGGTTTGAAAGGTTTCTACAGTGGTAACAACGACCATGAAATCTGCAACTAATTGTGCTGCATAATCAATATCTCATTTGTTTGCTGAAGACTGGGCAAGTTAGCACTGGTGAAAACAGCAAAGGTTGACAAAGATGAGTTCACAGTCACACAGTGGAAAATAAATACAAATTAACCAAACAATGTCATTTGATGGACTTAAATTTACATGAAGTGAGTGCATCCTACTCAAAAAACCTAAAAGACAAAGATGCTGCTTCCTATGTTAAAATATTTCAAATACTACTGAGAATAATTAAAAGATCAGTACCAGTTCTTCCTAGAATCTCATTTCTAAGATATGAAAAGACTTAAATGGAACAAGATAATAATCTA